CCCCCCCCCCCCCCTTCATCATGCCCAGTTACGTTTTCCTCTTGTATTAAATGTTGTCTCTCGTCGCTGGAACTAATAAAACACTTTCTTATCTCCCATCAACTGCAGCCGCGTCACGTGATTCACCGCCGAACTGATGCTGATGCTGATGGAGAGTCGTCACGGTCACAGCACGGACCAGAAGTTGAGCCACACAAAAGCACGTACACTGACAATGAATAAAAACGACGTTTAAATGATGCGCAAAACTGAGCACCGACCACCGACCAAAACTGACCACCGACCAAAACTGAGCACCGACCACCACACGGGGCAACTGGGAGGCACCGACCGCCACACTTTAGAGGCAGTTCCTGCAAGATTTGACTTTAAGTTGTCAGCGGAACAAAACAAAAAACAACTAAATCTAAACGTTTGCAACAACAACCACCAAATATTCCCTCCGTTAACATCCCATAATGGTCGGTAGTAGTGGTAGTAGTTGCTGTATTTAGAGTAGGTATTATTATTGATATTGATATTAATATTATTGCTATTAATATTAATAATAATAGTAACAATTGTTATTATTATTATTATGGTTACAATTAAAATATTTAAACAAAAACAACTTCGTCCAATGAGCAACAACAACTAACGTACAGACAGTGACAGACGGTGTTATATTTACTGACGACACACACCAACAGTGTGGTGATAATGGGGTGGCACCACCACAAGGTGGCGCACTTTGATGGAGTGACAGACAGACAGTCAAACAGACAGACCGACTGACAGACAGACAGACAGACTGACTGACTGACTGACAGACAGTCTGTCTGTCAGTCTGTCAGTCTGTCAGTCTGTCTGTCTGTCTGTCTCTCAGTCTGTCTGTCAGTCAGTCAGTCAGTCTGTCTCTCAGTCTGTCTGTCAGTCTGTCAGTCAGTCTGTCAGTCTGTCAGTCTGTCAGTCTGTCAGTCTGTCAGTCTGTCAGTCTGTCAGTCTGTCAGTCTGTCAGTCTGTCAGTCTGTCAGTCTGTCAGTCTGTCAGTCTGTCAGTCTGTCAGTCTGTCAGTCATTGTGTTACATTGTGTTTTTTACACAGTTTAGTTTATTGTTTACAAGGCATTTAAAAACAAACCATTTTGCTAATGCTTTTTTTCCTCTCCATTCATGACCAGATGTGTGACCAATCAGAGTTATCCAGACAAGGAAACACAGAAACATCTTCCTTTTTCATGTTGCTTTCTTTCATTGCTTTTCTTGATACAAAAAGATAAAAAAAAAACAGATTCTAATTATGGAACGGAAAAAACACACGGTCACAGAAGCTGAAAAAAGGGACGCTCAAATATATGCAGAGGCACAGACACATGAAGCAAAAATCTATTTAATCTTGGGAATAAAGAGCTTTTGGAGCCGAGCACTGGGGATAAATGCAATTGTCCGGATCCGTGGTCAAACAAAGCAGCATTGCATACGGCTCTGAATGGCTGAAGTGTAAACTCAGGAGCGGGTGAACACACTAATGAGGGATCCACAACCACACACCACACTTTCATCTTTCTCTCACTGACGTAGAAAAGTAAGAGTGGATGAAAACAGACATTGCGATAACCGTCAGTGTAGACTTTACGATAGCTGCTAATGCTAAACGTACCGGTCAGTGTTAACTGAACGCTCGCGCAGCTTAGCATTTGTTTTCGTTTTGTTAAAACTATGAATTGAGTGCTTTAATTACAACAGTTGAATTTTGCATTTTACCCCACGAGGTGAGAGTGGAAACTCAGTGACAGCAGTCGATGGCGTTTACACGAAGAGATAAATGTTATTTGAATGATGAATTAAATGATACCTGAATGTTAGCCGACTGGAAAACTATTTCTGGTCATGATCAGTTTGTTTCTACATTTCTCTGTCGTCTTTCTTGGGACCACTACTGTATATATGTATATAAATATATATATATAACTGATCTGGACGTGCAGCAGCTGATGGAGGGAGGCCACTTATCTTAAATTTTAATATACAGTTGCAATGTAAAACCTGATACTGCGTATATGTACAAACATCTTCCATCAAATCATGGTGCATCAATCGATGGTACAAAACGATTAATCGCGATTAATCCACAGCTACCCAGCCATTTTCTAATTATAATTAGATCCAAAAATGTGAATAGTTTGACAGCCCTTAATGGAAATATTTTATATGACAACAATCAAAGACAAGTTTACAAATATTGAATACAGAAGGACCAGAGACAGTAGACGTTCTTGAGTCTTGAATCTCACACCTTTAATAATGTGTGCATGAAAACGAGAACATGTATCTGTTCCTGACCCCCCCCCCCCACTTCCCCCCCTTCTATTGAGCTTTTTTATTGGTCACATTTCAATCACTTTGTCTCTAAAAAGCCCCGTCGTGGAAATCATCTTTCATACCACGTTTTCATGTCTTTTGTGAGCGTCGTTGTGTGTTTGTTTGTTTGTTTGTGTGTTTGTTTGTTTGTTTGTTTTAAATTGCAAACGCTCAGCTGTGCACATAAAAGAGAGGCTGACACGGTAGAACATGTTAACGTCGGGTGAATAAAGAGGATCCCTATTGATCCTAATCTGAGCTGTCAGCCTCCTGTTCCCTGCAATCAACAAGTCAACGATAATCTGGTGTGAAAGGGCTCTCTCTCTGTCTCTCTCTGTCTCTCTCTCCCACCCTTTCTTTCTCGTTCTCTCTTTGCTGCAAACACAGAGACTTTTTTACATCCTGCTCTTCCACAAATTGCCGAGCCTCTGAAGAGGCCGGAGGCAGTGAGAGAAGAAGAAGAAATTGATTCAAAGCTGAGACGTACTCTGGTGAAATGAAGCTGTCGTCCCCGTCAGCTGAACCTCAGGTTAGAATCAAACACCTCACACTGTTTTTCTATCCGACTCGAATTGAGATGTCCGTGTAATTATGCAGAACATTTGGCCACTTTGTCACGTCGTTCTTACCACTCGTGGGTAAAGATGCTATTTTTACAGGATTGTGTTGCACTTTTAGAAACACCGCACCTGAAATCAATCTGCTGCAATCAAGCAGCCGAGTAGTTCAAGTCGACCTCCGTCAGTGGCATTCACCGGTCTGTGGAACAAGTGGAGCTTATTTTAGCCATGAACTGTTTGAACATGAACTCAAATCTCTGTTCCATTTGCACTGCTGTTCAATATATCATCATCATCTGCTGCAGTTCATCATTTAAACCAGCCGTTGGTGCTGGTGAGACACTGTTGGACTCAGAACCTGACACCACATGATCACTGACGGATGTTTCCCACCTGGTGAGGCCGCGGCAGACACCGCTCCTCCCTTCATTTGGATCATTAATCTACACGCGCTCAAACAAACAACAAACAAATCACAAAAGTCAGATTGATGCTGCTGTCTTGGCGCCGCCCTTGTGGAACTCAAAGTGAGATAAACGGTGTTTGCGAAGGAAAAACAAACAAACAATAGGTTAGCATTACGGCAGACGCACGTGGTTTAATGGAGTCGCGGCCGTGACTGTTCAGCTCGTGATGAGCTCAAGTTTTTCAATTGCCAAAGGGGAAAAAAAAACCCCAAATTTTTTCATTTAAAACTTCCCTCCAAGGACTTTCAGAGACTGTATTTCCGCAGCCTCGTACTGTGTTGTCATTAACTGTCGTCTCCTTTCGTGCCTGCGGTTGCTGCTGACACCAGCCGCGGCTGTTGCCGGGGGCCGTACCGTTCAGGCTATCAATAGCTTTTAGGTGATTTGTCTTTATGCCCAGTGTCTCTTCAGGTTTTGTGTTGCCATGGGCAGCTTTGCATTCATTCGGACATCCTTGCGTCATGGTCAATTGACAGCGATTTCTGACAATTATCCACAATGTAGCCTGATGCGCACCGAGAATAGCATCTGTTCAGAAAAATAAAATACAGTAGACGACGTACGTCTCTACATTTCACTACTTTTTGTAATTAAATATAGTCTGTTGATGTCTACATTAAATGTTAGTGATGTGTATTAATTAAAAAAGTAAAACAAAAACAAAAAAATGCCACAATTTTACACCTGTTTAATAATTACCACGCCCCAGTGTGGTACGGCACGGTACTGCAAAATCCTTCCAATTAAATTTATACAGGCCTTTATTTTTATCCCTAAGAGAAAGAAAACAAATCACCCAGAGACATTTGATTCACCAGTATGTTTGTTTATTTTAACATCACAGAGAAGAATACATTTGAAATTAAATGTTGGTGGAATAATAAAAAAAAAAGATTCAGCTTCAAAACTGCATTCCCTCAAATTATTGAATATAAACTGCCTTTAAACATTTCAGTGTTGTGTCAGATTCAACAACGTAAAAACAAATGACACACGGGTCAAAGGGAATACTGTATGTGTGAGGGTCCTGGGTCTTTTTCTCTACTAAATCTGACGTCTCAGGGTTTGCTCCGAGCTGAATATTTTGAAAACACAAAAGCAATCTAAACTAGTGGAAATTTTATACAGAATTTCTCACTGCTCCATTTGTTACAGTGGTTGATCAATATGAATAAATTCGTGTCTTGTTCTGGGTCTGGGAGAATCTGTAAAGAGTAAGAACATCAACAGATGAGAACGAAGGTAAAAACGAGGAAACGTGATGGCAACTTTAAAGTAAATAATCGTTTATTCATAAAGAGGTCTTTATTTTTTAATGCAATTGAAATATTTTTTTACCCTGGAAGCCTAAACTACTGTAAGGACACAATTAGTTTTCTAATTATACGGATGAATAATTATTACTTTTAAAAAAGTGTCCTGTTTTTGCATCTTTTTAAGTCCAATAATATCGTCCATCTGTTATTATCAGCCCGATGTTAGCATTATTCCGTTATAGTAACAAAAAGCCGATAACCCAATGCCGAATCATGTGTGTCTTAAAAATAGTTTTGGGGAAAAACGGCTGTAAGTGAAAGTGAAAGCCACTAGATGGCAGCATTGCAGCTCATTTTATTAATGTTTTTTAATAAGAAGATTGTATGCAGAATCCTGGTCCCCGCAGAAGGCAGACCAAGAGGGGGCGTTATTTTCTTTTTCTTATGATGCGTCGTCTAATGTGATCGACATATTAGTCGTCAACTTGGAACTTCCAAATTCTAGAGACAAGACGTAGCACTGGGTTCAAGGCTGAAGTCTGCCTCCCGTCAGGGAGGTAAAAATAAACCACATGAAGACTTCGATCAAAACTAAAAGTCTTTCTTTAGAACAACGATGAAGACCTCATTATCTAATTATCCACCTCCAGGGTGTAATTGCATGTTTGGAGTTCCATCATCAAGTCTTTGTCATTTTCTTTTTCTTAACTTCACATTTTTCTTCCCGTTGTCACGTCCGTGACCTCACTCTCCTCGTCATTTAAACCGCACATGTGAAAAGCAGCGATAAATCCTGACGCTAATAAGATTCTTTTGTTGAGTTGTTTTAAAGTAAAGATGTAAAAATCTGGGAAAAGTAAAGTAATCCTAGGCTGTGGGTTTTCTTACAATTTACAGGAGGGAGCAGGGCTTCTTCTTGGCCTTGGTGGGTTGAGGACAGAGGACGGCCCTGATGGCCTCGTCGAACACGGTCTTCAGACCCCGCTGGGTCAAAGCTGAACATTCCAGGTATTTTACAGCATCTGCATGAAAGACACAGAAATATGACGTATTTAACACACACACACATACACGAACACGGTCTTCAGACCCCGCTGGGTCAAAGCTGAACATTCCAGGTATTTTACAGCATCTGTGTGAAAAACACAGAAATATGACGTATTTAACATGATATATATCTTATCTTATTACACCTGTGCAAGCTGTGAGTTTAATAGTGGTGGCTGGAAACCAATGGGATCTCTGTTGCTAGGCAGAGTTTTTTGGCTTTTTTGAGGTGTGTTTTTACTGACTTACACTCGATTCACATTATGTCATTTAAATCAAGTGCTGCTGGACTTTCTGTCTGAAAGTTGTCAACATGTCTAGAGTATGAGCAGAATTTCTCTTTCTCTTTGCTGACGATGTAATTATATTTTTTTAAAAACATATTCTTCTCAGCCCGGGGCTTCATAGTTATAATTATTAATTAATCATTAGAAAATTAACATTTCTGTACCTTGTCAATTGTTCCAGGGACATTAGTGGAAATGAATGAATATGAACCAACAGCTCCATACGTCTTCAGTACGGGCTGAAGATAACTGACCACATTCCCACTAATCAATCCTACTTGCACTTTAAAAAGGCTGATATCACCGCAGCTGCCGTAATAAACCCATGAATCAACATCAACGGTAAACCCACTGACGCACAGACATTTTTCATTTCCTGACATAAAGACGCAGACGCCGCGGTCGTGGTCAACACTCGTGTCTCTGACCTATGTCCTTTGCCAGAGCCAGTCCGTGGGGATAGGTGATCGGCGACAGCTTTTTCTCCTTCAGCTTCTCGATGGTGTCTTTATCATCCCTCAGATCCAGCTTGGTGCCCACCAGGATGATGGGCGTGGAGGGGCAGTGATGACGAACCTCGGGGTACCACTGGAGACCGGAAGAAAAGAGGGGGTAAAATACGGAGCGGGATCGGTTTGTACAGATGTTTTGTTTGCTTTAGTTTCCTTGGATTTTTACAGTAGGATCACTGGTTTGCTGGTTCAATCCCCATTCTTTCTACTGGAAGTACTCCAGAGAAGAGAAGTCCAGGATAGAAATACTCCATTCTCAAGTATTCACGATAAATAGTTAACAATACAAAGGACGATGCAAAGATAGACTAGAGTGTTTTTTTCTTTATGGTGAATGTGTTTACGATGAACTCCCTGACGAACCTGTAGCTAATTCCCTGTTCACTTCTGTCGCCCACATCCATCTTTTGTCCCCTTCATCTTCTTGTTAGCATTTTAAATGATCGTCTGTTCTAAAGCCCACGATCCTACATCGTGTAGCCTCTCTTCAAATTTTTTTTATATATTTTCTTTCTTTTTAATTTCATAAAATTGACATCAGTCATGACTCTAATCTCCTCTCTCCCTCTCTCTCTCCCCCTCTCTCCCTGTCATCGATCGTGCACCTGTTAATGTGGGGGAGATAAACACAATCTGATTGGTGATGGATGCTGCAGATCCATACGCTCACCGTATCATCTTCCTTTGATTTCCCTGACATTTAGCTGCTCCAGGGTCTTCCTGCCGATACTTGTTAACCTCTACAGACACCAAAACAAACGCGCTTTAATTTAACACTGATTAAAGGCAGAGAGAAGCTGCAGGTTGGCAGGATTTTTGTTTATTATCAAACGGGTTTTTTTGGATCAGGGATTAAGATCTTAACTGTCAGACTTTCTTGAACCCGAGGTTTTCCGAAGTTCAAATAAAATGTATCAGGGTTTTATTGACTCACCACTAAAGTAAAAAAAAAATGTAATTAATAAAAAATTCTGATATTCATTTTCTGCCAATATCCGACATGCTGATATTATCCAAACACTATTTTTCCGATACTATATATGCAGCTGTTTGATCCAAAACTGTGGTAAACGTCTCAGGACCCTACAATTAATTTACATAAACTCACTGCTGACATCAGTGGTAAAACTGTAGAACTGCAAGAGATATATGACTCCTTTTCTTCACCTCTTCCGTGTCCTGTACGACACTACCTCAAACCCTCAAATGAAAACCTAATTCCACTCCTCCCTGCTGTGAAGTTTCCACCCGACCTTTGTGTTATTTTTAACTCCTAATCATCTCATCTTGTCACCTTTTGTTGTCAGGAATTATTTGCGTCTCGGCTCATCAATTCCCTGTAACCATGGTTACTCCTAACTTAAGGGATGGTGTTTTGTGGCCGGAGCTGCTCAACTCAGCGTCCACGAGGCCAATCCTTTTATTTTAATGTATTCGTCGTCATATATGAGCAGCAGGAAGACAGAGGCCACGGTGAAAGCTTCGCCGCAGACATGAATAAAACGGTTCACCACCACCAGACCACTTCATAGGAGCGTGCTGAACATCAAAGGTCTGTGTGAATACGTGTGACCCACCTTTGCTCTGACGTTCTCGTAGGACGCTGGGCTCACCAGGGAGAAGCAGATTAGGAAAACATCCTGGACGAAGCAACGAGAAGGTTAGGAAGAAAAAAGTTAAATAAAAAATTAATACAGATTAAAAAACAAAGGAATGACAAAAACAAGGACGACAGAGCGGTCTGCACGTCTTCAGTTTCGACTAATCTTGATTGATTTTTTTTCTCAATTACTTTATTTAATTTTATCTTTATTTTCTGAGCTGTAAAAGAAAATGTTGTTTCGAGGGAAGACGACGAGGCTCTGACCTTTTAGTGTCGAGTTAGTAACCTGGTTTAAACCACTTATCATCAAATGTCAAAGTTAAGGCCAAATCTTAAAACACTTGTGTGTATATTATATTATATTTATATTACAGTATACACTATAATAACCTACTTTATTTTCTCTCTTTAATTTAATGAAACACGACTCGTTCCCACTGCACAGTACTGTATTGATCCCTCTCTTCACCACCTCTCTAAGTCCCAGTGGGGGTGGGAGGTGGGGGTGTGTGAGGTTGATGTCATTTCCTCTAATGAATTGAATGCATGTGTGAGCAGTGAGTGGGACGTACCGTCTGTGGGTAGGACAGTGGACGCAGCCTGTCGTAGTCCTCCTGCCCAGCTGTATCCCAGAGGCCCAGATTGACCGGCTTGCTGTCCACCATCACGTTAGCAGAGTAGTTGTCAAATCTGTCGGGAGCAAAAAAAGGTCAGAGAGGTCAGAGAGGTCAGTCAGCTGCAGGGGGCGTCAGTGTGTGTCTTTTAAAAGGGTGATTTATGAGTGATATATAAATATTGTCAGTCTGATGCAGAGTTTAATGACCAGAAACAGATATAAATACTGTAGTACTACTAACCAGTATTTATGTATACCTGAGTATACATCAGATGGAGTACTAATATTGTCGCCTGTCTTTTGAGCACGGTAAAATAAGAACCACTGCAGTCTTATGTTTGATCAATACTGCCTCCGTGTGGCCACTTGGTGCAGTTAGGAAGTCCTACTAATACATGTACCATTGTACATGTATATTGAATTCCACGACGTGTGGCCACTTGGTGCAGTTAGGAATTCCTACTAATACATGTGTCATTGTACATGTATACTGAATTCCACGATACTAATACTTATCCCTCAACATTTTAAACAATGGAATGCAATACTATCTGTAGTATACTATACCATACTGTACTAGTCTATACGATACTATACCAAATTAGATTACGTCAGATTACACTGAACTTTATTGATTTTACTTAACAAAACATTGTCTGGTCATATTTATAGTATAGTATACAGTAATATATTATTATTATTTGAATATTTTTTTATTTGAATATTTATTTAATATGACCAGTACCGTTACATTCTCTGTGTACTGCACTGAAAATGATACCATAAAAATGGTACCAAAATACCTGTATATCTGTACTTGAATATAACCTGGTCAGTTGTGGCTAAGATTAGTGTTATTGGTTATTGGTGTGTATTGGCAAGAATCTGGTGATATAATACGTATCACGATGCAGGTGGACGACGGTCCGATTTATTGCGACATACTACGATATTATAGGTGCGACTGTTTATTGAGTTGTTTTTGTCTGTCATAATCTTAATCATAATCTGTCATAAATCTGTCAGCAAAGTAAACACATAATGTGAAATGTTTGAATGTGTGACCAGAAGGTTTATTTATGAGAACACACACACACACACACACTCCTCTGTCATGTTGAGGTGTGTGTGTGTGTTCTTGTGTGTCATATACTCACACAGTAGGAATGTATTCCCCGGGGAAGGCATTGGTGGTGTAGCTGATGAGGAGACATGTTTTACCCACAGCTCTGAGAGGAACAAACAAACAAACACAGCAAAAGGAAAGGATTATGAACAGGAAATAATGATAAAAGGTGGAGTGATATTTAAATCACAAAACAGAAACTCTGCTGCGTTTCAGCTCTTGTCAGAGTCGTTATTTAAACGGTTCTCCTTTTCAGAAAGGTTAAGATACGTTTAGCGCAAACAGGAAATGATGCAATACATGTCCTGACGTTATGATTGAAAAAGTCAGACACAATAAAAAAAAATGTTATTGTTCCTATTCTGTGTATGTAAATTCGAACATAACCGTTTCACCACAAACTCACAAACTCAACTGTAAAACCGTAACAGGATAAAGCAGTGACTCTCGAGTCCTGGTTTTGATCAAACAGGTTCGAACTGGTCTCATGTTTCAAAGCTCTGCTGTCGAGCTCTTTCTTAATGGAAGTAATTTCAGACAACACTCTACAAGGCGGAAGATGAAACTAAACCCACGAACCCAAAACAAAAGTTGCTGTGTGTCGTGACAATGTTTACCTCGGTTGATGATCCGTAAATAATCGTCTAATAATCTACAAAGCAGACGGTGTGGAGATCGGACCCTTTTAAATACTCACAATATTTAAACTTACTTCTTGAACAAAAGTTCAACAAGAAACTTAGTGAAAATGAGAAGTTTTCCCTGACATTTAAGTCTAAACACCTCTGTCAGCAGAGTGTCCATCGGAACATTCCTCCTGTGTAGATTTTATTTTCCCCACCAGGTCACAACCTGCCTCTTTACCTCATCTGGGAATTGAATCAAATTCCTTTAGATTATTATTTTTTCCCTCCCAGATTTACAGACAAAACAATGAACAAATCAGAGAGAACTCTGATCATTTTTTACACAGTTTTCAAATTGAGTTTTGGGGGGGAAATCCGTGGTTTTAATGTTCAAAATGGGTTCTTTTTTTTTCGTGTCAGAGTCGTAGCAGAAGACACGAGTCTTGACATGTTTTAGTTATTAAATCAAACACTGCGTGATATTAAAACATCCGCGTTAGAACAACTCGACGTAGATTCACATCATTTAAAAACGAAACATTTGTAACAGTTACGTGACGGTGACATCCACTGCGCCGATCAGCAGTTTCGTCTCACGTCAGGCGCCAATGGATACAACTGTACTCTGCAATCGCGTGGTTTACGATCTCCACGATAAACACGACAGTGTCGTTGAATTCCGAAAGTCAACCAAAAAAAGTACAGAGCTCGAAGCGCCACATCGTTTAAAATATTTGCGTCTGACAGAGGGAGCACGAAAGTGCTTGTCAAGAACGTCTCCACGACAACTGACACATTAGCCCGGCTCTGTGTGTGACGTGTTCGTGGCCGCGTGAGTCAAAAACGGAACCGATCTGTTTCAGAAGCAGCAGCAAGTGTTGGAAACAGGAACCGGCCATGGTGAGCTATGAAGAACAAGTAATAGTAATAATAATAATAATAATTTACAAACAAACATCCATCCCTGATCTCTGTGTATGTTAGTTCCAAATGTGATTTCCCATCAGTTTTAATGACGCCATTTCCCGGTATCTGTAGCGGTTGACATCTAATTCATTTAATTTGAATCTCTTATCTTTTTCGGAAGAAAAACAAAAACAAAACTCATATGAAAGGTTTTAGTGACTGTCGGTGTTATGTATTCACCCTGACAACAACCCAGGGTGCATAAACTGCACATGTCTGTGTGTTGACAAATAACAAAAACAAAACAGACTTGTTTGTCCCGCTCGTTATTACTGTAATGACGCTGAGATCGTTTAAGTGACAGAAAACTTTGTCCCGCCTCCAAGGCTGAGGCTGCAGTTCAGATTTTGACGTCTCGAGTCGTGGCCTTCAAGGTCACGTCAGATTTCTGAGATGTTTCCAGAGTCGTAAGAAGCTGCAGATATCCCCACATATTATTATTATTATTGTAAGTTTAGCAGATATCCCCACATATTATTATTATTGTAAGTTTCATTTACAACCGATTCCCGTCAGTAGAATCTGATGATAAGAGGACGGTTGTGTCTGATAAAACACAGAACCAGGAAGGAACACACAGGACTGAAGAGTCTGAAGAGGAAAAATGTTTAATTTTATGCAGCAACTCTGACACCACTTCCGCTTTACTATTTCCTCCATTGTGACAGCCAAGCCCTTCATTTTAACATTTTGGCAAAAAAAAAAAAAAAAAGTTAGTATTTAGTTTGATTGTTGACATGTTAATTAATCTATTTTTGAGCTTTTAGACTCAGCCGACAGGTTGAGGCAGGTTTTCTCATACTTTTTCATTCCAGTCGTGTCTAAACCAAAACTAACAGAGTATCTTTTTAATTTAATTTTTTTCCCGTGATTTCTCTCCCTGAGTGTTCAACATTTCTCTGACTTTCACTCTCATCTAACGCCTGCACACTTGCTGCCTTTCAGCCCTTCCCAGCATGTTGTGGCCTGTACCCCTCAGCAGGCTCTGAGTCAAGGCTGTCAAATACATGCCTCACGGTTTTACATGTAGGACTGAGCAGACCAGATTGGGTCTAATGACTGTAAGCTTTACGATACCCTCGGGGTCTTCGTAGTTTTTTGGAGCAAACAGAGTCCGATTTCAGCCGAATCTTTCCTCAAAAATCCTCACCTAAACCCTTCCACAGTTCCCCAACCTCAAGTCTTCAGTCCCACATTATGCATCACCGCAGTTCCCACTTAGGGGAAGAAACAAAGACAAAGACACAGCTCGAGGTATAGAGACAAAGTAGAAATATTGGCATACCCATCTCCCACGACCACACATTTGATAGCCTGCATCCTGTTCCGCTCAGCTTCGTCTGCGCTCTTTGCCCTGACAGAAACAGAGAGGAAGGTGAAGAGGCACCAAGCAGCATGCAACTACAGGAAATTGTTACACACCTCCCTCTGCCCTCCCTCCACTGCTGCTGCTGCTGCTGCTTATTTTTTTTCTCTCTGAATGTCTCTTCCTCCAATTTTTGCACCTCCTTACTTCCTGTATGCTGCTGCTACACAAGTTTGTAAATAATGATCAAAAGAATGTAACTCAGATCAACTGTTTTAGCCTCAAAAAAGAGGATTCATATTATAAAAAATCTAACAAATATATAAAATGATCATAAATGTCATGTGGGGACCATACCAGTAAACTATGTGTTAAACTTCCTCCTTTCAACTATGCAAACATGACAGAACACACCCAGATACTCAGAAAGAAATGTACTGTAATTCAACAGGCAAAACCACTCAATAAATATCTGATAAAGCTAAAAAAACATCATTATCAACAACCATCATCAGTATTGGCTGACACAGACTCTTTCATTCAGTGGCCTGAATAAAAAACGCACCCTGAAAGGGAAAAAGAAAAAAAGACCTTTCATTCAGTGGCCTGAATAAAAAACTCACCCTGAAAGGGAAAAAGAAAAAAAAGAACAAAACAGTTTTATTTTTATAATCACATATGTAAAAAAAAAAAGTTAAAGAAATAAAATGAAACGTGTCGTTTGTTTTTAAAAGTAATCGCGTATTGAGTTTTTTTTTTTTTTTGTTCTTTCAAAAACATTAAATAAATCATATTTAGCAAGTATTTCATTTGTAATATAAATAGATTCCACTAGATGGCGCTTTAGTGTCATTATCCTTCCAATATCATCACGGCAAACCAGAGTTGTACAGTGGTTTGTTCGGTTTAGGAAACAATAACAGTTTAGTATTGCAATTTAATTCGATAGTTTTGATAAAGTCTGTGATTAATTATCAATTAAATCAGAGAAACACGGAAACATATGTCATATGGTATTATTTTACAACCGTTTTTAACAACTTGCAATATATATTTGCAATTAACGTATTTTAGCCAGTTACATCAGCAATATTATTATTATTATTATTATTAAAGGTACACTAGCTACAGTGTTAATCACTACGGTAACTACCTTCCTCTGCTGCCATAGAGACAAACTAAAATATTGTCTTATATCGAAGAGCAACAATTACACAGGAAACTGACGCACTTTTGACTTTCACAGAAATTCTGTAACCAGAATCAGGCAACAAAGAACTCGTCACACACAGTATGTCTTTAATAGAGGTTTACTGTAAGTTGAAAAAGACACATCTGTTTGAATTCCAATAAAACACGTCAGTTACTACTTTAACTTACAGTAGCGTCACCGTTAAAACAGCTTTAAAAAATAAAATGAAAACACATGCTTTTATTCTGAAAGTGGATGTGTCAGTTTCTGTGGCTTCCTTTCGACGTGAGTTTGACTCTGTGGTACTTGGAAGAGGAAGAGATGGTGGTGTCTAAAGACAACATCCTCAACATTGGTGTGTCAGTGCACTATGTGCCGCAGTGGAGTTCACTTTTTCCACCTTCACCTCACGTTTAACTTTGGAGACTTTGGAATTGGGGCTTTTTTGTATTTGGAATAAATGACTGATCTCACAATGGGTAAGGCTGTTTTCAGTTCAATTTTTGCGTCTAAAATATAGATTTCTTTAAATGTAAAATTCAACATCATAACATACAGTGTGTTAATACGAGAGTTGGGTTCAGAAACAGATTCCTTGTTTTGTTTACCGTCTTTGTGCTTGAATTTGGAGATGACAACAAGCAGATAAACATATGATATTACGTCACGTCTAAACACAAAAAATAATCACAAACTGTAATCTGTGGTTCAACCAGAGAAGAGACAGTGATACCTAGAAGTCATTGATAAAAACATATATAAAATAAACCTTTTTATCTCTGTCACACCGGGTTGTGTTCTGTTAGAGCTAGTTGAGGTGAAACCCAACTTTACCTTCTCCAATTTTTATATAAAAATATACAAAACAATGATAAAGAGAAGAACAAGACTTAAATAAATTATTAGTAAAAAAAAAATTTTTAAAAACAAACCAACTCCACTCCAGTGGTGTCAGAGATGACGTGATGAATGTGATAAATCCAAGAATACGGGATTAAAAGACAAGTGACACATGTCAACATCTGTTTGTGCAAGTAGCACTGAAGAAGGGTGGGGATGTGGAAGTCCTGCGCAGTTCAATACACACTCAGACACACACTCAGACACACACACACACTCACACAGAGAGGATGAGAGCTGCCATTTTGTGACTTGTTGACAGGGAAATAATCCTTTGACCTGTATGTTAATATCGAATTTTTAAATGAAATTTAAACTGTGTTAGTTCCATCAAGAACACATTGTGCAGTGATCCTCTATGCAGATGATACTCAGACCTTTGTGACTGTCAAATCAGCCCAGTTTTTCAAGTGCTGACCTTGGAGTTCTTTTTTTAAATCTTTAAAACTTTTTGTGTTAATTCAACATTTTGTTTGAAAAACTCAAAGTTTCCTCAGATTTCACAGAGGATGAAAAAATGGAGATCGAGAACATCAGGATGTACAAGAAAGACCTACTGGAGGATATCCAGGTCAGACAGGCTAACGCACATATGGAACAGACATCGCAAGAACTCTGAAAAAAAGAATCTTTATCAATAAGTTTATTGTGTTTTTCCCCGTACAGAAGTTAAAGCTGGAAATAGACAATGTGATGGCAACAATACACAGCTTTGAGTCTGCAGAGGAGAAGTAAGTTTCAGCCTCATACCCTCACAAACGTTTGCTATACTCAGTTAAAATGCTAATTAGAATTTTTATAAATTCTCACGGCTACTGAAATTTCATTGGAGGCTCAGACCAGTGTTCGACATTCAATTAAAAAAAAAATATTTTAGTAAAAGTATGAGCGACTAAAGGATTTTATTGAACAAACAAATACAATAAATAAATAAATAAATAATGATGTCGAGTTGTAGGACGGATGTGAAGGTTTTCGCGGGCCAGATGTGGCCCCTGTGCCGGGGGTTTGCGACCTCTGCTCTAGCATGCAGAACTAATGTTTTCGTTGTCTTTACAGCAAAACAATCGAGAGGAGCAAATGTTTCATAAATGGGAAGAAGAAATTCAACATGGATCCCAAAAAGGTGAGTTAGCCCTTTAAGCTAACGCACGTCCTCAGTGGACTTCCTCCTGCTCAGCCAGCCTGACACTATCTGTCTGTGAGAACGCTGCACCGCTGCGTCTGTGGTCACAGATGTAGGCAGAGATTGTCATGAATGTTTTTACAGCAACACATGAAAAAAACCCCAGATACAAACGTTAATTCACTCCAGTCTCAGAATGAGGGTGGGAAAGAGGAAGAAGTTTAGACTGTGAGGAATGAGGAATTGGGACGGTGGCAGATGAAATGAAATGGTTATTTCACCCTAATATTAGATCATTCTGAAACTACGTACGCTTCACTCGGTGCAGTTGTTTCTAAATGAAGAGCAGGCCTACGACAGCTCTCTGAAGGTTTTCAGAGCAGGCCTACGACAGCTCTCTGAAGTGTTTCTGAAGCCTCTCCACATTTGTGTCCAGGGCATCAATTATCTGGTGAAGAATAAGCTGCTGGACGAACGGGCGGAGACAATCGCAGAGTTTCTCTACAAGGAGGAAGGACTCAACAAGACGGCCATCGGAGAGTTTCTTGGTGAAAGGTGAGACAAAAGTGTGAAAGAAGGAGCACGAGGAGAGAAGTGAGCGACAGACTGGAGGTGCTGGAGCAGCCAGCTGACACTGTGGTGATTATTATGTATCATATTTCCACCACAGGGAGGCGCTCCACCTCCAGACCCTGAAGGCCTTCGTGGAGCTGCATGAGTTCTCTGACCTCAACCTGGTCCAGGCCCTGAGGTCAGTCCTCGTGACCAAAACTGTGACGTGTTCTTCCCTGTGTTTTTATGAGGCCTCAAAAGATGACCTTGAAGTTTAACATCTATTCATCAAAAATACAATCCATAAAAATATAAACATATACTTTAATGTACTTCATATTAGAAATTGAAATCTGTATAAATGTAACTACTCCATTTTAACATTTAAATAAATATTTGTTATTTACTATTTATTCAAGTTACAAATATTGAACATTACTTTTCAATTCTAAAAATTCTAATTTTCCAGTTTAAGAAACTCAACAGCATAGACTTTATTACGAGGCACACGCTTCTTAAACTCCCCTGGGCCGCACAAAAATGACTTGGCGGGCCACATTCGGCCCACGAGCCATGAGTTTGTGATCAGAGGGCTGTATTGATCAGTTTAGTAATCAGATACAAAGTTAATTAACAATCATTTTTGAAAACTGATCAATGATTTAACCTGGTGTTTTTCATAAATAAAAGCCATTCTGTGATTGGTGGTCGACTGTTTCTGTCTGGATAGAAAACAAACGATGAAAGAAAATCTGCTCTTCTTTGTCGTGTCGTGTTCGCAGACAGTTTCTGTGGAGTTTCCGACTTCCTGGAGAAGCCCAGAAAATCGATCGGATGATGGAGGCCTTTGCCACTCGCTACTGTGACTGCAACGCTCACGTCTTCCAGTCGACGGGTGAGCCACAGAAACAGGGCGGCCATCTTGGCCCCGCCGTGTGTTCACGTTCGAGCACGTTTTTTTAATGAGCTGGTTGAAAGTGTCGTGTTGAGACTTCAGTTCTGGTTATGGACGTACGTTATCTGTGTGAATCTGCTTTACGTCTTCACTTCCTCTAAATGTTTCTGTTTTCTAGACACATGTTACATCCTGTCTTTTGCCATCATCATGCTGAACACCAGCCTCCACAACCCCAACGTGAAGGACAAGACCACGCTGGAGCGCTTCATCTCCATGAACAGAGGCATCAACAACGGCGAGGATCTGCCCAACGATCTGCTCTCGGTAACGGCTGACAGTCAGACACTAGTACTGACAACGAGAAAACAAAAATCGCTGGAATTTTAGCACTAATTCAAGTGAACCTGCACGCCCCAGTGGCCTAATGGATAAGGCACTGGCCTCCTAAGCCAGGGATTGTGGGTTCGAGTCCCATCTGGGGTGATGTTTATTTTTGGAGTTCATCAGAGGCAGTGGTGGCTCAGTGGTTAAAGAAGCGGACAGGTCACATTTTGTTGTTGTGTGTGCTGTGTCACAAGGACAAATTATTCACTTCTAAAGATTTTACTCTTTAACATTAGAAAAAGTCCCATGATGCATCACCAAAATATATGTAATGAAATATAACGATTCTCCAGCCTCAGGTTGCTTTAATGAACTTACTTGGTGTGAATCCTGTTTAGTTGAACACCATGGACCCAGCACCATACACCACTAGTGATGAATTAATGTGATTTCAGGGAGTACATTTTTTTAAGTCATTCCCCCTGCTGGTGGACTATAGAATTACAATAGAAGTGTTGTATTAGACATCACGTCACACTAACACAAAGCTGATGTGTCAAAAAAATGACTCTTCTCATTCGTCAACTCCGTCTGTAGAAACTGTACGACAGCATACGCAGCGAGCCCTTCAAAATTCCAGAAGACGACGGGAACGATCTGACTCACACTTTCTTCAACCCGGACAGAGAGGGCTGGCTCCTGAAACTGGGTAAAAACACCGGCGCGAGACGAAACGTCCACGCCGTGACAGTGTTGGTGTGTGTGTGTGTGTGTGTTTTGGTGTCAATGAATTCACCGAGCTGTTTCCGTGTTTGTTCAGGAGGCAGAGTGAAGACCTGGAAGAGGAGATGGTTCATCCTGACCGACAACTGCCTCTACTATTTTGAGTTCACCACCGTAAGACTGAAACCTCCGCTGCTTTTAATGACCCTACGTTTTGTTTTTCACCATGTTCCCATGACCTCACTGTTAGCTGCAGTAAATACCCCGGTGAAAGGGCAGTTGTTTTTTGACCGTTAGTCGCTGTTGCGCTTCTATAAAAATCATTTCTCAAATCATTTACATTTAAAGATTTTAATTTTTTTTCTTCTACAGTTTCAGCTTTGAGCTTTAATAAAAAATCCTAGTCCAGAATATGAATTTTTCTAGTCCTAGAATTTGAAATTCCCTGTTTTAAATTTGGTCTTGGACTGATGTTTTTTTTTTTTCCTGTCGTCAGGACAAAGAGCCCAGAGGCATCATCCCTCTAGAAAACCTGTCTGTGAGAGAAGTGCCGTATCCACGGAAACCGGTGGGTGGTTACATCCTGTAGATGTTTATCATTAATATTTTTATCCATAAAAAAAAAAATCCAAACAGATTTTTGACACGGTGACTGTGTGATTCCTCCAGTACTGTCTGGAACTGTGCAACCTCAACAGTCCAGGGCAGAAGATCAAGGCGTGTAAAACCGAGACAGATGGACGGGTGGTGGAGGGGAAGCATCAGTCCTACACCATCTGTGCCGCCAGCGCTGAGGAGAGAGACTCCTGGATCGAGGCCATCAGGTGGGGGCACTCACACACACACCACACTGACACACCGCGTCTCACTCATGTGTTCATCACGAATAATGTCACATCATTTTCGAGCCTTTACTTTTGACATGACGTCACAAACGTGTTGATTTCCTCTGACTTTATCTCCAAACCAGAAAAACTGACGTCGACTCAAAATAGACGGAATTTTCCTTTTGACAAAATGAGTTCCGTTCCATACTTCCCATGACGCACCACCAAACAAAAATGTCACCAAAATATACGTCAAACAAATATAATGATTCTCCAGTCTGCGGGTGCTTTAATTTACTTGAATCTTGTTTAGTTGAACACAATGCAGATACGCTCACAGGAATTGAAAAAAGTGACCAAATTAGAGTCCGTGTGACCTGAAGTGTAGTTCCCGTTGGTTGTACTTAAACTCATCAAATGACTTTACTTTATCTTCTTATTCACCGTGGTGTGAATGTTACAGCTCAGAGTTTCCTCACGGTGTAAAGACGTTCTGACTGTGATCTAAGACGGTGTTGCTACAAATGTACACAGATTCTGCAATAGTGCC